TACTCCACTTCCTTGTTGCCTGCTTAGACTCTTGGCACTCTTAGGTGAGCAGACTTAGTCAGCCTGTGTTGCCCTAACAGGGACACAATGTCAGAGACAAGATCAGGATAGAGATGATTAGGGTTACTCAGGTTTCCTGACAGCACCAACTCAGCAGGAGTGCCAATGTTCCCATAGAAGGGAAATGCATGTTATTATCCAGGAATATTGTGCTAGGCTGTGATAGCTCTAGGCCTTATGTTGATGTAGTTATAATGCACCCAATCCTGCATCTCCTGCACAAAATGATTCCACCGATTGAGGCATTGGTGGTCTGTGAGGGCCTGTCCATCAGTGTGGGGATGGTTATGATCCCATGCTGCAAGAGTGTTGCAATAGTTGGGAGTATTGCTAATGTATGTGTGGTAGGCCTGACAGCATGCATCCTCATCAAAGGTTTCTATACAGAATTTGAGCTCATCATCATTGTCATGGTCATGATAAGAGGGGCAAACCTCCATGGTCAGCAGCCTGCTTGCATGGCCAGATATTCCAAGGACTCTCCTTGGAGAGATATGGGGACCAGTGACCAAGTCGCTTTGCACCAGCATTGCAGGGAACATCCAGCATATTCAAGAAGAGTTGGGTCACTTCACTGAGCATGTGCTTGCCCTTCTCCAGTACATCCAACTGATGTGCAGTGACCTTTGTGCACATATCTCACTGTCTTTTCTTTTGCATGCATTCCTGCTGGATTCTTTCGAACTTGAGCATGGTCAGCAATGCTTGAAGAATGGCAGATATAAGTTGATCCTTCCATTCCTGCAATGAGGTGTTCTGCCATTCCACCAAATGTCCCTCCTCATGTTCCTTGAGTAGGAGGGGTTCATCCTCTTTGTCCATGTCAGATGCCCCTTCTTGCTCATGATCATGAGCCAAAGGTTCATGATCATGATCATGAGCTGGAGGTTCACACTCATGAGCAGGGGGGGCTTGCAGGCTGTTGTCTGCAGGTTGATTCCAATCAGCGCCTGTTTGACCCCATCTGCCATTGCTTTTGGTCCCCAGGCAGTAGGCTGACCTTCTAGGGCGTCATCCCCACAGAAGCCCATCCCCTCCTTATTAGATGGGTTCTCCTCATTGCCAACCTGGGGGTTACAGACAGCGTGAACAACACAGGGTGGAGAGGTGGGTGAAGTCAGAGCCAGAGCATGGAGAACATATTCTTCTTTGTCCGGGGTGCTGGCCCATCCCCCCTGCCATCTTTTGGTGGAAATCAGAGGCATGGACATGTAAGGGAGAGGCCAGCTAGGCCTTGGTTGCTTCTTGTGAGGACTGGGAGACATTGACAAATGGTGGAGGATGGGTGATGATGGTGACTGCAATGAGAATCCAATTGTTTCTTGACTGGCATGCATGACCATGGAGAGGTCTGGTTTGGAGAGTGCTGGTGGGTGAAGATCCATATTCATGTTCATGGTCAAGTTCATGAACTTGGGGGGGAGGCTGGATGTCAACAGCAGTAGGTCAGGCAGTTTGGTGGGTGGTTCACCCACCAGCCTTGGGAATGGATAGCTTGGGAGTGAGCCCAACAAGCTTTCAGATAGCTCATAGATCATATCATCCCTCAATTGGGTGATATCAGGTGCTTGCTGACTTGTGTCTTCAAAGCTCCATGTGAAAAGAGTAGTGCTGGTGTGGCTGTCTGGGGAGGATGATGTGGGGACTTGGATATCAAGGCTGTTTGGGGAATGCTGATTGAAGAGGGATGGTTGATTAACTCTGGAGCCAGCCTTGTTCATGGAAGTGAATTGCATTGACACCAGTGGAGATGAATAGGCTATATGGTAGGGTCATTGCATCAGATGTCTTTGACATGGCTAGATGACAATAGCTGTGACATACCAAAAGCATGCTGCAGGTCCACTGAGACAGTGAGCAAGTGGTCCACAAAGGTTATAGGCAGTGGAAGGTGACCTGAACATGCAAATTAGCAATACATGCATGAGCATGATCATGAACATGGGCCATACTGCTAGCACCACTATGTCTGATAGGGGTCACTGGTGCTGGCTGTTGAGGCAGGGTAGGCCACATTGGGTCCATGTAGACTGCAACTGTGGTGTGGTCACCACCATGCTCAAGGAGATGGTCATTGCAGAGATTGCCTTGAGAGTTAGGTAGGAAAAAGGGTGATTCATCTTGTGTTTTGGAATTTGGGGAGGTGGACAGATTATTGTGGGTAGACCAGTTGAAAACATTGGATCAGGATGGCTGGAATGTGTGGTGCAGGGAGGGCAGTTTGCAGTGTGCAGGTGCTCCAGGAATGCAGGGGGGGCCATGATCTGGGGGTGATGAGGACATGGCAGACTGTGGCAAGGGTGTTCAGAATAATGAGGAATATCACAGAATGCCTAGGAATATGGGCATGTCACATTGTGTGATGTGCCAGCAAACACTCATCATGTGTTCAGACCAGGTAAGTGTGAACCACTGAACAACCCCACCTCTGGTGGAATGTGTCAGGCTGGTATTCCCATGGCTATTTTTGGGCCTTAGAGACCATTGTGCAGCACTACAGACTGTCACTACACAGGACAACACACCCCAGCAACAAGTCTTGACCCCTGCAGATATTTGGCATGGTGACTACTAGGATTCCCCAGGCAATGAGACCACCCAGATATTCAGCATGATGACTGCAGGTTTTCTCCACAACGGGATTGACCCACCTGGATATTTGGCATGCCAATGCCTGCCTTGAGAGGTATCCAGAGACCAGTTTAGTATTGAGTTCAGTTTATAGTAGCTAGTATAAGTAGTTTCCAGAAACTCCTGTACTTAGCTTATTCTGCCCCTTTTCTGTGAGCATTATATGGATCCAATTATCCCCATACTGGATAGGCAGCATCATATCAACTTAGCATATTCAACTCGACTGGACGTACTTTACTAGACAGAGACTGACCTCCAAATTATTATCAACTGACTTCTGTCAGCTCAGCTACAGGCTTGACTCCCACATTCCTACTGATTTTCCCCTTCTCTCCCTTCTTTCCCTAGCAAGTTCTTGCACACCACCCATCAGACTGATATGTCAGACACCTCTTGGGTTGGATCAGTG